TACAAGCTGCCTATGCATCCTAAGAATGTCTCCTACTCGCCAGGCCTGCCATGGACGATGACTGTCGTGGCAAACCAATCCCCATGGGGATCCCCGTCGTGCATGCCTTGATCTCACCAACCCCCCCGCCTCCAACGATGGTTCCGGGGGCTGTTCCCGTTCCCCAGACACGCAGCTCGCTTCGTGGCAACACCGTCCGAGGGGCTCTGCCTGGGCAGGATGGGGACGACGTCCCCACCGCTATTGGGTCAAGACCGCCGCCCAATACGCCCCTATCCATGTCTCCCACGGACTATCGCGCTCGTCCGGCAAGAACGCGGGCATTAGTGCCCGTCCGCCTTTTCCACCGTAGGAAGTTCCTTGAGCGCTTCCCCAATCGTCTCAATAGCGCCTCGGAGCTGCTCCTCTGTGATGACCAGCGGGGGCGCGAACCGGATGATGTTACCGTGCGTCGGTTTCGCCTAGATCAAACATGTCAGTCGGCAATTTTCGTCCCGGGGTAGGTAGGTTGACTCACCAGAATCCCCTTCTCCTTCAGCAACAAGCACAGATCCCAGGCTGTCCTCCCGTCCGCCTTTGCCTCATCAATCACCACGGCATTCAACAGCCCCTTCCCCCTCACCGTCTGCACCACCGGCGACCCCAATCCCTCCACCCCCTCACGGAACACCCTCCCCAGCCTCTCCGCACGCTCCACCAGCCCCTCCTCCTCCACCAGCTCCAGCGCCCGCAGCGACACGGCGCACCCGAGCGGATTCCCGCCGTACGTCGACCCATGCGTCCCCGGCTCGATGACGAGCATCACCTCCTTGCTTGCCAGCACGGCGCTGACGGGGTACATGCCACCCGAGATGGCCTTGCCAAGCGTAACCATGTCGGGCTTGACGCCGGACCACTCGAAGCAGAGCATGCGGCCGGTGCGGGCGATGCCCGTCTGGATCTCGTCGCAGATGAAGAGCACGTTGTGCTTCTTGCAGAGGGCGGCGGCGCGCGCGAGGTAGTCGTCGTCGGGCACGACGACGCCGGCTTCGCCCTGGATGGGCTCGACGATGAAGGCGGCCGTGTCGGAGCCGTGAGCGTCGAGCGCGGCTTCGAGGTCGGGGATGTTGTTGTAGCGGATGGGACGGCCGGTCGAGGGGACAATGGCGCCGATGTTGGGGACGTAGGGGCCGTAGTTGTCGCGGGATTCGGGGTCGACCGAGAGGGAGATGGCGGTCATCTAGGAGGGGGTTAGCGGGGTTTGGGGAAAGCAAAAGGGGGAAAGGGGGCGTACTGTTCGGCCGTGAAAGTTGTCGGCGACGCTAAAGACGAGGGCGCGGCCTTGGGGCACACCCTTGACCTTGTAGGCCCACTTGCGGGCGATCTTGATGGCGGTCTCGACGGCCTCGGCGCCCGTGTTCATGGGCAGGACCATGTCGTAGCCAAAGACCTGGCGGACCTTGGCGGCCCAGACGGGGAAGACATCGTTGTAGAAGGCGCGCGAGCTGAGGGTCAGGCGGGAGGCCTGGTCGGTCAGGGCCTTGATCAGCTCCGGGTGGCAGTGGCCCTGGTTGACGGCGCTGTAGGCCGAGAGGAAGTCGAGGTAGTGCTTGCCCTCGGGGTCCCAGACGTCGACGCCCTTGGCGCGCGCAAAGACGACGGGGAGGGGGTGGTAGTTGTGGGCGGCGTACTCATTCTCGGCAGTGATGGCGCTCTTGGTGGAGGAGGCGTGATATCTGTCCTGGGGGGAGGACGGCTTGCCGTTGGAGACGCCGTTGTCGGCGTGGGGCGCCATGGTGTATGAAGCTGTGGGTGGTGTCGAGTCGAGAAGACAGGGAGAAATGTGGTATTTGCCCCGTAAAGTGCCGTGGTCGAGATATTCAGATGCTGTTTAAGCACTTGGTATGGAAGCGTAAAATAGTAGAGATGACAATGGTATAGTATGTGTTTGTGTTGCGGGGGGGGGGGGAGGGTTATGTTCTCAAGGTGGGAAGAGGGGCAGATGATGAAGAGAAACAGAGAAAAAACAGTGAATGAGGGGAGGGGGAAAGGAGTCAAGGGATATAAAGACGGTGGGTGAGGTGGGTTTCCGGCAAACGGGCGCTGGGCGATATGAGACGGTCGACGGCGTGGCGACGGCCCAGAGCTTGCCTCCGTCACAACCCACAACCCCCTTCGGTGTCCATGACATCCACCTCGGGGCGGGACACGGAAGCCATGGTCATGACTGATTCAAACACACACTAAATGGTCCGCGACGCAATCAATGGTGCGGCGGGATGCGGCATGACAGAGCCAGAAGACCATCACGTGCGGGTTCGTGTCAGGTCTTGGTATTGGAATCGGGGAAGATGACATGGACCAAGCCGAAGGAAACCGGGCTGGAGCGGAGGAGGCGATCGGGGGGCATGGCCGATGCGGATTGCGGCACCCCGCCGAGGGGCCTGGAAACGCCGCAGGGGCCTCGGGGAAACGCCGCAAGGGCCTCCGGGAAACGCTGCAGGGACTGAGGCCAATGGCGGGGCCACTGATTACCTTGCAGGGCGCCAATGAAAGCCCCAAAGTCTGGCAGCGGGTATCCATCCCGCCTGTGATGCCACCTGGCACCAGTTCCAAAGACAGCGAGTGGCAGATGGCAGTTCATCACCACTAATTTGACCTTCAACATCATCCCCCCTCCAAAATAACCTCCTGCCAAGCTTCCCACACAGCCATCTCCGAGGTCATCGGCGCTGGGGAAAACATGGTCGACAAAGGGGGCCCTAAACCCCAAAAGATAACAGAGACTCGGCCTCCATCGACACCCTCGATCAAACCACGACCACCCCCCCCCCGAAAATTGCACCCCGAAGTCATTGCCGCCCAGATCAAGGACATCTTGAGTGCCTTGCTTGTATTCCGCTTCATCAATGCCCTCTGCGTGCGCACCTTTTTCCAGCCCGATGAGTACTTCCAGGCCCTCGAGCCAGCATGGAGCATGGCCTTTGACAGCGAGAGCGGCGCCTGGCTGACCTGGGTAAACAAATACTCCCATCCCTTGGGTGGGTGCTGCTGCCAGGGGATTGCTGACTTAAGTAAAACAAGGAATGGCAACACCAACTCAGGTCATCGCTGCACCCAGCCATCTTCGGTGCCGCCTACAAGGCCGTGTACACCTTGATGGCCTGGCTGGAGTTTTATGAACCCTTCAGGGCCTTCATCTTGGTTCCGCTGCCCAAGATCATCCAGTCCGTCTTTGCTGCCCTGGGTGATTTTTACACCTGGAGGTTGGCCACGGAGATATACGGCATCGACAGCAATGTGCCATGGGCTGCCGTCAGTCCTTCCACCACACCTGCCTAGACCCAAAACTAACAATGTCAACAGCTCTGGATGACAGTGTTGAACCCCTGGCAGTGGTATTGCTCCACCAGGACCTTCTCCAACTCGCTCGAGACTACCCTCACCATCGCTGCGCTTTACTACTGGCCGTGGGAACTGCTCAAGGACGCCAAGGCCGACAAGACCGTGGCCCTCCAGTCAAGACGCGGTGTCAACAGGTATTCCCTCCTATTCCCCCTTGCGTCTCGCGGCAGGCCATCCTAACTCCTCCCAGTCTCCGCATCTCCCTTGTCCTTGCCGCCTTCGCCGTCATCCTGCGGCCAACCAACATTCTCGTGTGGCTAGGCATCTTGACCATCACCCTCACCCGCTTCACTCTCGACGGCGCATCCCCACTCCAGACGTCCACCCTCCTGACCCTGGCCCGCGAAGTCATCCTCTGCGGCGGCGGCGCCCTCGCCGTCTCCGCCCTCTCGGACCGCCTCTACTTTGGCTTCTGGGCCTTTCCGCCCTACAAGTGGCTGTATTTCAACATCTCGCAGTCGCTCGCCGTCTTCTACGGCCGCATGCCCTGGCACTACTACCTCGTGCAGGGCATCCCCCTCCTAACAACAACCTTCCTCCCCTTCGTCCTCATCGGTCTCTACAAGACGACCCTCTCCTTCTCCTCGTCCCCCTTCTCTCCGTCCGCCCTCAGCACCCTCCAATCCAACACCCTCCGCACCCTCGCCTTCACCCTCCTCACCATGGTCGCCGCCCTCTCCTGCATCACCCACAAGGAAGTCCGCTTCCTCTACCCCCTCCTCCCCGTCCTCCACCTCCTCGGCGCCCCCTATCTCGTGCAGTTCTTTACCCTCCCACCCACCACCCCACCCGCCACCACCACCAAAACCACCACCACCCTCCGCCACAAGCTCTTCCTCGCTAACCTCCTCTCCCTCAACTTCCTCCTCGCCCTCTACCTCTCCCTCCTCCACCAACCCGCTCCGCTCTCCGTCCTCGCCTTCCTCCGCACCGACTTTGAGCGCCTCCACCCCGACCGCCTCTCCTTTTCCGCCCCCAACGCCACATCCCCGCTCGACACCGACAACAACGAACTCTTCGCCCTCTTCCTCACCCCCTGCCACTCCACCCCCTGGCGCTCGCACCTCGTCTACCCGGCCCTGCGCGCCCGCGCCCTGACGTGCGAGCCGCCGCTAGCCACGGCGCCGGGGAGCGTCGAGCGGGAGACGTACATGGACGAGGCGGATAGGTTTTATGCGAGGGATGGGGAGGAGTATGGGCGGAGGTTTTTGGCGGAGGAGATGTGGCCTGTTGGTGGTGGAGGGGGGGAAGTTCCGAGGTATATTGTTGGGTTTGAGGGGATCGAGGGTGTGTTGGAGGGGTTCTTTGGGGAGGCGGGGGGAGGGAGCGGGATGGGGGGGAGGTTGACGAGGCGGTGGGAGGGGTTTAATGGGTTGTTTAATGAGGATTGGAGGAGGAGGGGGAGGTTGGTGGTTTGGGATACGGGGGTTTGGTCTGCGAAGGAGGAGTGAGGGTGCACCGTGGTATTGCGGTGATGTATGGGGCATTTGCTGGGAGAGAGATGGGTGGGATGTTAATACGTCTGTTGGAGGTCAGTAGATGTTTAGGTTCGGCTCCACCTCGACGCATTCCCTCCCCACGCTTGGGCAACGATTGCACACCAATGTTTCATCCAATCGGGTATGGTGTAGCGGTAACATCGGTGACTCTCACTCACCAGCCCGGGGTTCGACTCCCCGTATCCGAGTGACTTTTCCAGTTTCTCATGACATCCGTCCTGTTCTTTTTGTGTGTTTTGGCTCATCCCTTTTCTTTTGAATCTTCCCCCCCCTTATCTCTTTTCCTCAAACAACCCTCAAAGCGTCTGCTCTTATCGGTCTAGACTACAGGCCCATCTCTCCTCTCCTGCCGAGAACAGGCACCGAAACTCAGTCTTCAAATCCCGCTACCCTCTCCTCCTCTTCGCTGAACCTCCTCACTGCCAACTCTCACTTGGCACCGCAGGGGGTAGTAGCGCTCCTCTTCCCTCCTTACTCGACGACAACGACATGATACAGCTTGCAAGCAGTGTCTGTCGGTGCCAGGGAATGATATGGACACACAGATATTCCCACATATACAACTCCTTCACCAGAGACGAATCACGGAAACCTACCAAGTGATTGCACACAACAACGGCCTTGCCAACACAAAAGGACTCGTCGATGGACACTATCGATACTTTTCATTTCTCTCTCGCTCGCCCGCATGCCCCCTCACCCCTCCCTTCCGCACTAGCGATATACAGAATCGGGTTCGCGACCACCCTACCCAGCCTTCCCGCCGGACGAGAAGAGTCCACGTATACACCCCTCCCCTCCCTCCCTCCCCCGCACAGAGAATATATCCATTTATCTCCCTCTCCTCCTCGTTTGCTTCTGCCTCGTGTGTCCAGAAACGACCACCACCTTCTCCTCCCGGGGGTATGGATGGATGAGCGTCTAGAAACTCCACCCCCCCCCCGCCGCCGCGGCCGTCCAAACCCAAGGTCCGTACAAAACCAAACCACCAAAAAAAAAAAAAAAAAAGCAAAAAGATCCCTGGGTATCCGCAACCTTGACCGCCGCACGCACACCTTTTTTTCGCAATCAACATCCCCCGCCGAGAATGGAAGCCAACCACTGGTCGCAGCACCAGAGGGGGGTTGGTTCAAAACTGCATACCTACACACACACACAAGAAGCCAAAATAGACATTATAGGTCGTGGGCGGGCGGGGCCTCAGCGGGCTGTGCCGGGTTCGGCCGTCTCTTCTGGGAGGTCGGGGTGCGTTATTTGTTGCTGTTGGGTTGGTTGCTGCTGCTGAATGTTTTGCTGGGGTTGGTGCTGTATGGTTTGCTGGTGCTCATGGGGTTTCTGGTGCTCCTGGAGCAGTGGTGGGACTTGTTGAGCTTGTTGCGGCACTTGTTTCTGCTGCTGCTGCTGCTGCTGCTGCTGCTGCACCTGCAGCACTTGAGGCTGGAATTCTTGCTGGCGCGGAGTCTGCAAAGGTAGTTGCTGCTGTTGTTGCTGTTGCGGAGGGTATGTACCCTGCGGGGGTGCTTGCTGGGGTTGCTGCTGCTGCTGTAGAGGATAGACGACCTGCGGCTGGGGCTGAGGAGGTGGTTTATCATCCGTTGGAGGTCGCTTGAGATCGATACTCTTGCCCCGCGACGAAATGGCGGCGCCAAGCGAGGCAATTCGTTCCCCGGGCGGCGACTTGTTCCGCCGCTGCTCGGCCGTCTCCTTGCGCTCGCGATACTTGGTCTTGATCCACCCCGTGATGCTTTTCGAGTCTTCCCGGTTCTCTTTGTTGAGGCCGTCCGTCCCGTCGCTCCCGGTAGGCTCCAGCGGCTCGCCCGTCATGCTGTACCGTTTCCCCGCGCTTCCGACCGAGCTCGAGCTGGCTTCCGCGTACGAGTTGGAACCGTAGCTTGGCTTCGGAGGACTGAGAGGCGGCTCGGGCGCCTGGGATGCGGCCTCCTCCTTCCTCCTCGACAGCCTCCACCGCCGCCTCCTGTCGGTTTCCTTCTCCGCCGCCGCCTCGGCGGAAGCTGCATCTCTGCCGGTGGCCACAAGTTCATCCACGTGATCAATGTCCGATCCTTCGTTGAACGAGCTGTGCAGAGACGTCGTTGGAGACTTCTTCGCCTTCAATGTCCCTTCGGCGTGACTGGGATGGAGCCCAGTAGGAGGAGGCGGCTGCGAGGCCAAGGCCTGGGGTAGGTGCTCGGAGGGAGCCTCGCCGGCCTGTCCCCTGAGCGGACTGTCGGGCTTGGGCTGCTGCGGTATCGCCTCAAGGGGGTTGGTAATCTCGACGTTGGGTGATACCGCCGCCGAGTGCGGCAGCGAGGCCGAAGAGCTGTTGGCGCTACCTAGCATATTTCGCTTTCGCAGCTTGTTGGGCTGACGACCGTCGCCCTCCCCTGTCGGAGTTCTTTGAAAGTAGCTCGGCAGTCTCCGTTCCCGAGACGGGGTCGTGGCCTCGGGATGGGGGGCAGCATCTAGCAGCTTGTCCTGGCTGCGACCGGCGGCGGCGGCGGGATGCACGAGGAGGGTGCCTGAGTCGGCCGCCGACACTGGAAGGGATGCCAGCGACTCCTCGGCGACTTCTTCGACGGCCTCGGGCGGGGACACGACTGGCATGTTTGGGTTCACGGGGGTCAAAGGCGACACGGGAAACTCGCCGCGTTGCCCAAACCGCTTTGACGGCAGCCCCGGCGACTTTTTGGAAGGCACTGTGTTGCTTCGCCCGAGACCTGGGCTCGGCGCCGGGGCGGTCTGGGCTGGGCTCCCCGGGCTGGGAGCGCCGTTGGACTGCAGAGACCGTCTCGACGAGGTGGACTTGTTTCTCCTAATCTGGCCCTCCCTCGCGACACTGTCGGCACCGGCGCTGGCGGTGGACGAGGACCGCGTGACGCCGCCGTTCCGATTGGGGCCCGGCGTAGTGGGCGTATTGACGGCAGGCGGTCCCCCCTTTTGCACTTCTTGGACTGTCTTCTCATCGGCGGCCGTGCCTTGCATGCCGATCAGGAAATGGTCCTGGTTCTCGATCAAGAAGATTATGACGCACTGGTTCAGCCGGTACTCCTCGGGGGCCATGGCGTGGTTCGGGTGCGACAGCATGCCGGGCTGGAAGATGGCGGCGAGGTTCTGGGAATTCATGCGGTTTTGGTCCGCCTTGGCCGCGAACACAGCCAGCAGATCGAGAATGTAGAGGAGCAGCTGCCGGTTCAGCGGGGGCATTTGGGTGATGAGCTGCTGGTACTTGGTGATGGCCTTGTCCATGTCAAAGTTGTCGACGAACTGCGGCCCCTCGCCTTCGTTGGTAGCCTGCTTCGTCGCGCCCCTCAAGGGCTCCCTGAATTTCTCGTACAGCTCGAGAGGCACAACGGGCTCGGGGAGATCGTTTAGGTAGCGGCGGAGCACGTTGGCGGCATCGTGCACCGTGTACCCATCCCAGACCAAGCCCTTGCCATAGCGGTCCGGGGAATCGAATATGCTCTTGAGCTCCTTGATTCGCTTCTCGGATCCGCTCAGACGAAAGATGCCCTCGACTTCGGTCGCTGCGACGCGGCTGGTTAGCGGGGCCATGGGGGGGTCGGGGGGTCGACGAGACGAACCCTTCTCCTTCAGAAAGACACCGCACTTGGCGACCACGATGGGAACATAGCCGTATATGTAGCTCTTTCCGTCCTCGTCTATCAGAGAGATGGCGACATTGGCGTAGGTGATGCTCTGGCGCAAGGATACGCCAAAGATCCCCTGGGGGGGGCGAGAGTCTGGCGGGGTCAGCTTGGGTTTCTTAAAAAGAGGTATAGGAAATCGGCCTCTGCTGAGCTTCTTCACAGAGCTTGTTAGGCTGCGCCCGAGAGACATCGGGGTCCGATCCGCGGTGGCTGCCGAGCCCGAGCGGGCACTTGCGCGCCGAGCGACGGCGGCGAGGCCCTCATCGTCCGAAGAGCAGGAAAGGGAAGGCGGACCGGGAAACGGGGGCAGATCGGGAAACGGGGGCAGATGGCCGTCCAGATCCTCGCTCAATCGAGATCGCGGCCGGGGCGTGGACGTTGGAGAGGGGGAGGATGTAGTAGATGGGGAGGTACCGTGTGCTGCTTCCTGGTGTTTGGAGGGAAGGCGGAACCCTTTCCACCACGACTTGAGGTCGCGCTTGGTCGGGGGAGAGGCGGCCGACTGGAGCTGTGGCGGGATGGGCGAGGGGTGTGGAGGGGGGATTGCGCTGTCTCGTTGCTGGTGCGGTGGTTGAAGCTGGTGTTGTTGTTGCTGCTGCTGCTGCTGCTGGAGCGAGGCGGGAGGGGGAGCGGCGGACGTCATGGCTGCGACGTCGTGGTGGTGGCGGGCGGCGGGCGCCTTGTCTCGGGGACGGGGACGGGGACGGCGTCGGGTCGGGAGCGGAGCAGCACTGCTGGGGAGCAGAGCATTCGGGGGGGCCGCCGATGCCGATGCGATGCGATGCAAAAAGGCGTGGTGATGGCCTCCGGCGGTCAGCAAAAGGGGGGAGCAGAGGGAGAGGTCAGGTCGAGGCCGAGGGGGTCGAGGCGGAGGATGGACGGCGAGGGATGGGTGGATGCGCGCGCGTGGGGTCGCCCAAGTTTTGAATGAGGTCAAGACTTGGGGGAGGCAATCCGCCTGTCAGAGGCGCCCTGTTCAGCGGGTGATTGGCCGGCTGCGGGATCCCAGCCCAGGGCTCCCAGGGCTTCCAGTAGGGCCTCGCAGCTAAGGTTCTGCGGGTGCCTTTGTCGATCGTGAATCCGAAACGGCGAAATCGAGGGGCCTAGAAAGCGAGTGAAACGCTAGAAATCGAATCTTGGAGGAGGAGGAGGAGGAGAGGGGGGAGGGGGGAGAGGGGATGCAAAAAGGCAATGGGTGTGACCCTACTCTTCATTTGTCGAATTCGAATTCTTGACGGATGATTTGTCCTTCCTTTTTTTCCTTTTTTTCTTTTTCTGTTTCCTTCTGTTTCCAAATCCAAAGAACCCAACGAACGACTGACTGCAACGAGGCGGCAGAGCGAGAGAGAGAGGCCGGGCGGCAGCGGGCGAGAACATGAACCGAAGCGAGTGGACTGTGGGAGAGGGCAGCTCCAAGGGCCCAGGGGGGGGAGGTGGCTGGCAGCTCAAGACCAGACGCGGCACCGTTTGTTTCCTTTCGCCAGCGCACTGTCCTGGACTGAGGTCGGAGTTCCTGACCTGTGGCAGCATTCAATGTCGGA